GTGTGTGTGTGTGTGTGTGTGTGTGTGTGTGTGTGTGTTTACCTGTGTGTGTGTGTTCACCTGTGTGTGTGTGTTCACCTGTGTGTGTTTATCTGTGTGTGTTTATCTGTGTGTGTTTACCTGTGTATGTTTACCTGTGTATGTTTATCTGTGTGTGTTTATCTGTGTGTGTTCACCTGTGGTGCGTTCAGGTGACGGTGGACGGCCGGGTCATCAGTCTGAACCTGTGGGACACGGCTGGTCAGGAGGAGTACGACCGTCTGAGGACTCTATCTTATCCGCAAACTAATGTCTTCATCATCTGCTTCTCCATCTCAAGCCCCGCCTCCTATGAGAACGTCAAACACAAGTGGCACCCAGAGGTCAGAGGTCACGACATGCCCATGCCGGGACAATTGGACACTTTGTAAAACCTTTGCTCCTTTCCCCAGGTGACCCACCACTGTCCCAGCGTTCCCATCCTCCTGATTGGCACAAAAAGCGACCTCCGGAACGACGGCGAGGTCCAGAGGAAGCTGAAGGAGCAGAACCAGGTGCCCCTCACCCAGCAGCAGGGCCTGAGTCTGGCCCGGCAGATCCAGGCAGTCCGCTACATGGAGTGCTCGGCCCTCAACCAGGACGGCATCAAGGAGGTGTTCGCCGAGGCTGTGAGGGCCTACCTGAACCCACAGCCCGCCGTCACCAAGAAGCCCTGTGTCCTGCTCTAAGACCCGGACCGGATCGAGCTCCTCCGTCTGACGGACCGCTCAGAATAAAATTTATATTTAAGAGTTTTTAATTAGTTTTGATGTTTGATTAGGAAAAGACGATTAAAGACGAGCTGAAAAACCCTCCGTTTCTCAGAAGTGTGATCGTTCTCCCTGACCTTTGACCCTGCAGCTTTACCAGAACCGGGCTTTTCTCAGAACGTGGGCTGGTTTCTGACAGGACCCAGTGAGGTTTAGATCAGTTCAGGAAGGAGGGAAGAGGATCTTCAGATCTGACACAAAGCTTTGGCTTTAGTTGGTTCCTCTTCAGAGAAACAGGAAGTTTGTCAGAGTTTACAACAACGGTCGTTTGTTGTCCCGGTCCGATCGAACAGAACCTCCTGCTAGACGGGCTGAAGGTCCGAGAGGCTGGACAGGACGTAGCTCTGCTGGAGTTCATCTGAGCAGAGAGCAGGAGGTTGTTTTTCATCTCCATGTTGACCCGGAGAATTCAGCCGAAGTGCAGAGAAACACAAACTGTCAGAAACACTTCACGTGCTCCAGCAACCACATGAACGTTAATAACAACAACAACAATATTAATAAAAATAACAACAACAATAATATTAATAAAAATAATAACAATAATATTAACAACAACAATAATAATATTAATAAAATAACAACAATAACAATAATATTAACAACAACAATAATAATATTAATAATAATGACAACAACAACAATAATAAGAAGAACTACAACAACAACAATAATAATAAGAACAACAACAACAATAATAATATTAATAATAATGACAACAACAACAATAATAATAACAACAACAACAACAACAACAAAAATAACAACAACAACAACGCAGTCATTTAAAGGCCAACCTGTTATGTTAAAAGAGATAAATACATCAATTAACGGGGAGAAAATGTCTTCTGTTGATCCACTTTTAGAAAACTGAACCCATCCAACATTTTTTATGGTTTTAAAAGAAGTGTTTTATAAATAAAATAAAATAAACAGTTATTTGTAAAATCATGGATTAAACCAGAAAACTGATGTGAGAGACGTTAACATTTCTTCTGTCAGAATGTGTCAGGCTTGATTTTGGTAAAAACATGCTAACTGAGCTAAACGCTAACATCTACTCAAAACACAGAAACTAAAACTTTAATTTCCAACATGTTGAAAGAAAAACAATGAAACTTCATCACAATTGTTTGTTTCTTTATTCAACATTTATTTATTTCTACAGGTCGGTCTCACCGAGTCACGAGGACTCTCTCCAAGACAGACCTGTTTTAAACAGGCAACAATAAACTACAGCAAAATGCAAATAAAATAAAAATACTGTAATAAGACAATAAATCGTCAGGCACTGTGATTAACCACGTGGACATAGAAGCATGAAGCATCAAACCTATAAAGAATAGTAAAAATAAATTGAGTCAAGCAGTGGTTGTAGCATGTATGAAGTGACGGAGGAAGGAGGGCCACGCTGCTCCACTTCACTGCACTTGTTTACTTATTTAGTACTGGTTAAAGTGGTTAACCCTAACCAGCAGCTCAGTTTGTTGACCAACAATGTGTTCACCCTTTAATGATCAGAATCAGTCACTGAAGTAGAATCTGTTCATTACAAGGAGCTCTAGACCAGAACGAGTGAATATTCATCCAAAGAAAAACGAGCTGCAGTCACTGGGACAGCTTCAGCGGGCGGTGAGGACCACAGCTGAGGAGAAGGTGTGCAGGCGATCAGCAACCTTCAGCCGGCTGACACTTCAAGCTGAAAGCACGAGTCTCTCAAGGAGAAAAATGCTTCATCTTCAGGAGCTACTGAAACTTCCACTTGTTTCTAGCAACATTGTTACGGAGCAAATGTTCATTTGCTCAGAAATAAACGAAGACAGACGTTAGGATCTGGACCAAAGATGAGCTGCCTGGGCTCACGTTTGTGTGTCGACCATGAGCTCTCAGAAGTGCTGTAGGATCTCTCAGATGTCATGACTCCCTTCTGAAGTCAACACTTCCAGCTCAAAACCCACACGGGCATCTCTGAAGGAGAAGTTATTTTATGAAAAACAGAACAGAAATATGTTAAACACGTTAAAATATTTCACATGATTTCATTAAGACGACAGATGAACAGGTGACCTGAGTCAGACTGCAGCGGACTGAGTCCAAGGACGGGGAACGTGTGAAAACATCGCACGCTGTTCACGTTTAGAGCAACTTTAAAGAGCACCGTTCATGGTGAGTCTGGTAGACAGCCCAAGGGTCAGAGGTCATAATGAGGGGAGCGTCTTCGTGCTGCGTGGTTGTGCTCAGATCCACGTCAGGCAGAGAAGATTTCAAACAATAAAACAGATGTGATGCAGAAACATCTACGGTTCTCTTTGTTCTGGTGTTTTAAAACAGATTCAGGGTTTGTTCAGTTTTTCTGTCGGCGTGGAGGATTTGAGGCCAGCAGCGCTGCTCACATTTCTGCTGCTTCGGGTGTCGAAGCAGCTCGATACGAGGAAGTTCACCGTGTCCTCTTCCTCCTCTGATGATGAAGAGTTTGGATCTTCTGCTGAACGGTTTTGTAGAACTTTTCAACTATTTTAGTGTTAAAAACAGTTTTTGTCTTCTTGCTGTTTGGATTATTATTGTGAGAAGTTCCACTCTTTAAGTTCTGTTAAGGCTGAGTTTGGACCGACAGCACCGATGTAGATGAGCCTGAGCGCCGGTCTTGGTGCCGTTGTTGTTCAGACAAACGATGGTAGGAGAGAAGTGAGGTTAATAAATAATCTGCAAACAAACAACTTCCCCAAACCATGAAAGGAGCCTTTATGAAGATGTGAAACCACAGAAACAGCTGAAGGACGCTGTTCTGCCCAACACAAAATGTTAAAAACAGTTCTTAAGAGTTTAGTGATAAAAATGTCATAATTCATCTGTAATGATTCGAGTTGAAAGACATGATCATTTACTTAATAACTTCTCCACAGCCAGTTGGTTTGTCTGTATTTTATTTTGAAGGTGTATTATGAGGTTGCAATGCATTATGGGTAACAGAAGCAGTAGTCAGTTGGAAAGCGGTTTTACGGAGAAACCTGCCTGTCCATGCATAACTTCACCTCCTGTGTCCTACATCTTTAGTTAGACCTTCGGAAGCAAAGACTTGACTCGACCCTTTTCCAGCCACAGTTGTAAAGAATTGGAAACTGAGAAGATGTGAGGAGCAACGCACTCATGAAAAACGAGTTTGGCTTGTTGTTGATCTGCGTTCATGTTCACGGTGTACCCAACACGCTGTGGTGCCAGTACAGTCACACAGCAGCCGACTGGGCTGAGGATCAGAACCATCCAGAAGGTCGGGTTCTGGTGACCCGCCAGGCGTCTCTGCTGTTTCATACATCACTAAAGCAAAGACCCCCTCTTGGCAGATCAGATCACAATCTTGTGTTTCTCTGCTCACAATATAAACCCCTTGTTCAGAGGCAACCTGCAATAAAGAGAACAGTGAGGAAATGGTCAATGGAAGCTGAAGAAGCCCTGCGGGGTTGTTTTGAGGCTACAGACTGGGATGCACTGTGCCAGCCACATGGAGAGGACGTCAGTGCCATGACTGAGTGTGTTACCGACTATATAAACTTCTGTGTAAACAACACCATCCCCACCAGAACAGTGAGAAGCTTCTCCAGTAACAAACCCTGGATCAGCACTGACCTGAAGGAACTGCTAAACCAGAAAAAAAGAGCCTTCAGGGAGAGAGACAGGGAATTATTGAAGAGCACACAGAAGCAACTCAAAGTCAAGATCAGAAACAGCAAGGAGGTGTACAAGAAGAAGCTGGAGAGCAAGCTCCAGCAGAACAATATCAGAGAGGTGTGGTCAGGGATGAAACAGATCACAGGCTTCAAGCAGAAGGAGGATCAGAAGGATGGAAGCCTGGACAGAGCCAATGAACTGAACACGTTCTTCAACAGGTTCAGTTCAGGAACAAGCTCAGCATCCTCCTCTCTTGCCCACAGCCAAACAGACATACCACCCTCCATTGACCCAAGGCTGTCCTGTCACACCTCAAATACTGTATCTACCACCTCAGTCATGGACCCTTCTTCTTCTACACATTGGTCTTCAACCAAATCAGAAGATGCTAATACCTCCTTTGCCTCCCCCCTCTGCGTCTCCAGAAGTCAGGTGAGGAAGCAGCTGGAGAGACTGAACCGGAATAAGGCTGCAGGTCCAGATGGTGTCAGTCCCAGAGTCCTGAAAGTCTGTGCAGAGCAGCTCTGTGGGGTTCTGCAGCACCTCTTCAACCTTAGCCTGACCCAGGAGAAGGTTCCAGTGTTGTGGAAAACATCCTGCCTTGTTCCAGTACCAAAGAAAACTCACCCATCAGTCCTCAATGACTATAGACCTGTTGCCCTGACATCCCACATCCTGAAGGTCCTAGAGAGACTTCTGCTGACCCACCTGACTAGACAAACAAGCACATATCAGGACCCACTGCAGTTTGCTTATCAGCGTGGACTTGGAGTTGAAGATGCCATCATACACCTGCTTCAGCAAACTCACTGTCATCTAGAAAAGGCAGACAGCACTGTGAGAGTCATGTTCTTTGATTTCTCCAGTGCATTTAACACAATCCAGCCTGATCTGCTTTGTCAGAAACTCCAGAAGACTCAGGTGGAGGCCTCAACAATCACCTGGATCAAAGACAACCTGACAAACAGACCACAGTTTGTGAGACTGAAGGGTTGTGTGTCTGACCAGGTGGTCAGTAGCTCAGGAGCACCACAGGGGACTGTACTCTCACCATTCTCACCAGGACTTCCGGTAAGATTGCGCCCGTGTACATGGCTTGCAATCCACCTCTGCTGATGGTGTTCGGATTATTTTTATTTTTTGCATTTCTCATCTGTGACATCAACTCTCTGCTGGTGCATGACAGACAACAACTTTTGGATCTTCGTTTTTCTGTCACCAATGTCGCTTATTTGGAACAATATGAGCGTACCTCTGGACCCCCCCCCCCCTCCCCCACGCTGGCGGACGTGCCAGCTTACCTCCGCTGTGCTCCTCACCTCCATGTCCGGCGATATCGCTTCAGATGCCGGGGAAAACGTGCTGGTCAGCTGGTGA